TTTCGGGGTCAAACAAGCACTTCCGGTAAGGCAATGGCGACTGGAGGTGAGCTCAAGTCACCATTTTGCTGCAGTCAGATGCCTCTCCAAAGAGAATGGTCAAAGTGAATGTTAACATAAATACATACGTTTTATTACTTTATTATGTATTTTTTATTATTAATGATTATGTTACTTTTTTAACACTAGAAACAAGTAAGGAGGAAAATATTCTGGATCAGCACCATGACGAAAACTTATGGCCATAGAATGCAGTATTCTGGAAATGGTATGAAATGTCACTGTGTGTGTGTGTGTGTGTGTGTGTGTGTGTGTGTGTGTGTGTGTGTGTGTGTGTGTGTGTGTGTGTGTGTGTGTGTGTGTGTGTGTGTGTGTGTGTGTGTGTGTGTGTGCAGTGACAGTTAACTTGAATACTGTTTAATGTACTTTCTGAATGAGTGACTTTTTAAGGCTAAATTAGCAAAATGACAAATACAGACAGTAGGACAACTTGGGTGTTCTCCCTTTTTCTCTTCTTTTTTATTGCATTACACTACCACCTGGTATCAGAACAGGACTATATGTGGCCTTTTTTTTTACTTTGAGTGTCCGTCCCTTCAAAGTTCTCTGAACGGCCCTGCTAGTTAGATGTAGAACAGACTCTTTGCAATGAGATAGAGCTTTTGGACCTACGATTCATTAGTTCAAGCCATCGACATATAAATATTGGACAATGGGTTTCCATAGACTCCAATATCACGTTTTTGAGGGGAAATGGGAGGTGGCCACCACCGCCATTTTGACCGTGTCACAGGTTCCGTCAAGCCCAGACAATTCCACAAAAGGAAAGAGAGGTGGAGCTGAGGGTGTGGCTGTAAGGCTTGGATCAACTGACGACACCCAATTGAACTAGCTACAAGCTAACCTGAAGCTAACCCAAAGCTAATGCGGAGATGGGAGCTAAGCTAACGGAGGTAGCAACCTAGCTACAACCGGAGTTAACTGTGCACAACACCAGAGCTTCTGAGTCAGAGATACGCCGGGCTGACTGCTGGGTAAAACCAGGTGGAACACAGAGGTCTACGAGACCTCAACGCTGGCAGCCGAGCAGCAGACAAGCGCCGCTGCAATCTGAGATGCGCAGAGCTGCGGCTGGGGAGAACCGGGTGGAAAGGTTTCCATCCCAGAGCTCCACAAGCCGTCAGCCTGCGCAGCACACAGAAGCCGCGATCAGACAGAGATGCGCCGAGCTGCGTGGAGGGGAGAACCGGTGTCGGTACAAGATCTGCTCGGGTGCAAGATCGGCTCGGGGTCCTTCGACTGCCGATGACGTCAAAGTACGGCAAACCCACTCGGACAAAATCCACTACACATCTATACTCTTGGAAAGAATTTAGCAGTTTCGTTATTAAAATAATGTTTCTTACAGCATAAGTTTGTGTTTATAATGGTATTTGTAAAATAAAACACTATATTTTATTCATAATGTTGAACTCCTCTTTGAGCACATCCCTTGAAGGATCATAGGTATTAGCAACACCTGTGAAATTGTATTTGCAGGAAAGAAGTGTGTCCCGTTTATTGAAGTATTTTGTGTTTAGAGTTTTGACGTCTTGTCCATGAGTAGTTCAGTTACACTCATAGCTGCTAGCCAAAACTCTGGAGTTAAAAGTTTTCTGGCTTTACTAAAATACCTGTCTGTACTTATTTGATTGATGGTATTTTTACTTTCTATTAGACTCCAAATGTAATCATTTGGCACGTTTCTAATTCATAATTTGTAATAATGTAATCGGCGATATTAGCATTAGCATTCCTATGGGTTTTTCCATGAATATTAGCATTGCGCTAACCACTCGCTGCCAAATTGCAGCCTTTGAGATTAGAAAATCTCCTTTTGTCACATCGCAATTTAATTGCACATGCAGTTTAACGTTCAGCCCTAGTATACATGCAGCTCTATGCTAAAAGTGTATTTTCAAAGAGGTAATGATGGATTTCTTTGTAAAAGTTGTCCATCTTTAATATAGAAAGATTTGCCTGGACCAACGTAACGTGATAACAACATAACGTGATTACGTAATTCCGTGAGGTTCATGTTCAGCCAATCAACTAGACGTCATCGGCAGTCGACGGACCCCGAGCCAATCTTGCACCCGAGCAGTTCCTGTACCGACACCGGGTGGAAAACAGAGGTCTCCCGAGAGCTCCACAATCCGATAGTCGGAACCCAGCTCCACCAACATGTTATATTTCAACCCATTTTCTAAAGTGCAGCATTATGTTAAGTGCACTGGGTTTTACCCTATTACATTTAAATTTCATGGTTAAACAGTTAAAATCTAAGCTCAGCTCGGCAGTGACCTAAAATACATAAATATAATTTTACTTACCGAAAAAAATGAAGTGGAGACTCCTTGGACGCTCTATTAGTGCAATTAATGCCACATTTTGTCCAACAATTGCACAAAAAATATCCAAACATGAATACACAAACACAGAGACTCAAAATCCCGAACAGTTTCCAGTCCAGACCGAGGCTCTACTGAGGCCTTTCCACGGAGCTAGCTCTGTGGTCACGTGGGTCGGATGCTCATTAATTATACAGAATTTTAGGCTTTTAATAAACTTAAACAGAAGAGAGAGAAAAAAATTCACCCCCCTCAGAGTAGTCATGAGTGTAAACTAGATCATTTAAACCAAAAACATGTTTTGGTACCAGGCTGTAAACATGTTTATTTCTGCTGTGAAATTGGTATTTTTAACATGGGAGTCAATGAGGATTTGCTCGCTTCTGACACCAGCTCCCAGCGGATGAGGGTGGAACTGCAATTTTTAGTACTTCCGGGTTGGCCTCAATTTTTGAGCCGCATTGTGGGGGCTTGGTTCAAGCATAAGAAGTGTTGTGGAATTTTTTTCAGAAATCTGTAAAAGTTGTTATCTTATCAGGTACTGTGATATAATGTAAGCATTACGTCTTTTTTTTTTTTTGCTAAGCATGCCCCCTGCCCCGCAGAGCTCCATGCAATAGGAAACTGAGCGCCAACCAGAACTAGCGAATAGCGTTGGACTATTGCTTAGATGCTTCAAAGTTAAGGAGTACCTCGGCAGTTGATGAACTTTTCACAAACAAGAAAGTCTTTAAAATATAAATATATTTCAACACAGCAAGAACTGAGAATAATACTTGTAAAACAGCATGTTTTAGCTCTGTTTGTCAGAAGCACATTTATAAACAAGAAACGTGAAGTCGTCATCTCAAAAAAACAGAGCAAGGCTTTTTGTGTGATACGCTTGTCAGCCACTAGATGGTGGCATTGGATAAGAGAAATACTCAGGAAAGTGATTATAAATGACTATATTTCTGGAACCACATGGTCTATTTGATTACTTTTGGTCTCTTTTTAAAAGGGAACTCTTGTGGAATCTGTTGAGATGGGTAAATATTGACATATGTGTTAATGATAAAAAATAAATGGACATGAGACATTGTAAAAAAAATTGAATTTCCTTGTCTGCCTGAAAAAAAATTAATTTCAGGATGAAGTTCTCTTAAGAAAAATTCAGCTGTAAGCCCCAAACCTCAATGTGTTCATAGTTTCACATCTTGACATCAGCTGTGCAAAATTTGAGTCTGATAGAGTGAACAACAAAAATGTTACTGAGGTTTTTATGCAGACACTCCAGGCGAGGTCTCCAAAATGGCACCATTTTGCATGATGTCATTGGTTAAGTCGGTGGTTCTGAAGAGAAGGCAGCCCCACATATCTCACCTCTCCAGCTGCAGAAGGGGAGCTCCAGATAAAAGTTCTACAAAGCAGTCCTCTTTAAGGGGTTTTAGCTCATGTAAAGCTTTCAATTACTGTTTAAAAAATCTCAACACAAGTAACAGATGAATTAAGACAAAACAAATAAAATAAGCTCTTTTTAACTGTCAGTTTCTCTCTCTCTCTCTCTCTATCCATCTCTCTCTCTATCCATCTCTCTCTATCTATCCATCTCTCTCTCTCTCTCTCTCTCTGTGTGTGTGTGTGTGTGTGTGTGTGTGTGTGTGTGTGTGTGTGTGTGTGTGTGTGTGTGTGTGTGTGTGTGTGTGTGTGTGTGTGTGTCCTGTTCGGCTGTAAAGCAACCAGAACTGATGTCGGAGTACCGAAAACAGTTTTACTCTCACAGGTAGAGAGCATTATAGAATCAGCTATAATTCTCCACTTGATGTCTTAACTTTATTAGAGATGCTTTTGGTTGTTTTTAATCCAAAGGGCATGGAGACAGAAATGAAAGAGAATGGGGGAGAGGAAAGGAAGAGATGGGGAAAGTTCACAAAAATAAACAATAAAGGATGAACAAGAAGCAGCTTCTATATCTGCAGAAAGGGAGAGAGACAGAAATCCAACAGAACCAGAACATCGCTAACAGTTCTGATGGATGGTTTGTCATGTTCTTGTCATCCAGACTTTGTTCTAGTTGTTCTCTCACCCCCTCTTTGAATTATATTGACACAAACACTCATTTATTTAAATTGTTATCTATAAGAACTATATTGTTTATTAAATTGGTTGAGTAATTTTTCTGCTTCTCCATCATATATTAAGTGTGTTTTTTAAAAATACCTGCCATAGTTTTCAAACACCTGTTGTATGAACGTTTTTAAATTATTTTGATTATCATTGATTGACTGAATCTTAGTGATTGATCCTTTTTTTCTATAAGTTTTGACACTAAGCTCTGTACAAGAGTCACATATGTGTCCACAGCAAACCCGCTGTTATTAAAAACGCTAAAAAAATGTGTCCTTTATCAGAGCTACATGTGTGAAGTTTTCAGGGTGAAAAACGCATCAAAATCGGTTCACAGCATAGACTGTACATATACACAGTCGAAAGAGTTATGGTTGATTCAACAAGCTTACACTTCACCGATCCCAGATGCGACCAATCGTAGAAGAACCCTTCCAGCCAATCAGAAGCGAGAAAGGTGGGATCTTCCTACGATTACAAACCACGTGACAGATTTCGCGCGAAAGTTTTTCTTGTTCCTATAAAGAGCGCACACATCCGGAGCGTCACCAGTAGCTGGTCTCACGAATTTCGGTTCCGTTTGCGGTCGTCTCTTGTAGCCTACGTAACACAAACATGTCTCAAGCGAGAGTTACGGATTTTTTTACTCAAAGAAAGAAAACGGTGGGTAAACCCGCAAAAACAGCCACGCTGCACGCCACCATCAAAGACGGCTCGTCCACCACTCACAAGGAGTTTGTCCGAGTTATCGATGAAGCTGCAAGTATTCATGATGCTGGATGCGTCGCGGGAAGCCCTGATAAAGACTTCTTGACGCCGAGGACACCGAAGCGGAACTCGTCCGAAGCTCAGATAGCTGAGCAGTCCACCGAAGCCTTTCATTCATCAGCCAAAACAAGAAGGCAAGCGACAAGGGTCAAAAAGGCAACTATCAGCAAGAAAACAACACAGAAGTCTGTTAGAAAGAAGCTAGTTCTACAGGACGAGCCTCCCCGGGTAAGCTGCCTGTTATGATAACAGCGGTAGTATTTAAAACCATCCTCCCGTGTGATTTAATTTAATCGCAGCTAGTTTCACATCCGGATACGAACGAAACTAAAGTTAGCTTCTCTGGTGTTTAGCTTTAGCTACACCTGGACTGAGGTAATCTGAATTTGAAGAATAATATTTTACGCCTCGATTCTGATCTCTAAAACATTTAATTGCAACGGTATGCATTTTTCTGTTTTTGGTCTATATGAAACACTTCCGTCTCCAATCCATCAGAACCGTGTGGGACTTTTCCACAGCTTGTTCATGTTTTTATGTTGGGATTATCTTTGCAATGGTTAGAAGGAAATTTCTAAATTCAGCATGAAGCATTACATTGATTTATTTGTCAACACGTTTATGATGTAAAATCCATGTTTAGCTAAATTTTTTATAATAATTCCAGTCTTTGTTTTGGAGCGATTTATGTTGACATAGTTTGTCTTGCTCGTGACTGAGTTACAAGATTATAAAAGTAACTAACTACTATTTATTGCATTACTTTTTTCATAGAAATATATAAGGAAATGTTAATATCCTGTTAATAGAACAAACTTTATTCACTATAAATTACTACAATGCTGGAATATAAATGAAGAAATAGACTTTGACATGATAAATATGAGTGATGCACCGATATGACATTTTGGGGCCAATACCGATATCCGATATTAAGATTAAGGCCGATAACCAATATTTGCATATACTGATATACTGATATTAGTGCTTCTAAAATCAGCAGATTTAGTATAGAATGATAATTATTAAAGCTGAATTTATATTATTATGTACACACACCACACACATTTACGGTTCTGAGATGATTTCATTCACTGTTCACATGACTAAATAAATACCGTATTTTCCGGAGTATAAGTCGCACCAGCCATAAAATGTATAATGAAGAAGAAAAAAACATAAGTCGCCCTGGACTATAAATCGCATTTTGGGGGGAAATTTTATTATTTTTCTTACAAAATCTGAGACCAAGCATTTCAGATTGCAAGACAAGTACCGGTAACAATAACAGAATAAACAACCAGGGTGCAGCAGCACACCACGGTCTCCAGCAGAGGATGGCAGCGTTTAAAACCCTCCCAGCGGGCGGGGAGAGCTCATTCCTGGGCCAGAGCCAGCCCACAGCACCCCGCCACAGGCTGCAGTGGGTGACGGCGGTGTTTGCAACCCTCCCAGCGGGACATGGGAGCTCATTCCTGGGTCGGAGCCGCCTGGCCCGCAGCAGTTTGCCACAGGCTCCAGCAGGTGATGGTGGGGCAGAGGAGCTTATTCCTGGTCCGGAGCCGGTCCACAGCAGCGCGGGATACATAATTTGGTAAATAAGTCACTTTGGCATATAAGTCGCACTCGCAGGACCAGCCAGACTATGAAAAAAAAAAGTGACTTATAGTCCGGAAAATACGGTACACATCACCTCCTCACCCTCTGAAACAGGCAAACAAATGGAGACAAGATGGAAAACATCTGTTAACATCGGCCCGATTTTATTTATCGAACTTATACGGATATGTTAAAAAATGACTAACATCAGTCGATACCGATATTGATGCCAATATATTGTCCATCCCTAATAAAAATGTATGTCCATTCAATAGTTTAAAGGTGAAATTTTGAAATACACGAGCACCTTACAGAAGAAAATACAACCAGAAACATTACACTAATTAAAACCAAGACTCCAATCAAATCAAATGTGATAGCCACCTAAGTTCACAAGAGGCATGGTGGCAAGGTTGAAGCGCTTCATCTTCCAATCTTAACTCAGGAAATAGCAGGACACACCAAGGTACTTCTCTGTAGCACAGCTGGTCCACACGTCAGCAGTCAGTGACCATCTTCCGCTCTGAGGGTCTGCTTTACCGTAAAGATAAAAGATATTAAAGTTAGTTTATTTGCCAGATTAATAATTCTGTTATATCACAAAGTTGGTTAAGATTTAACACAAAGAAAATGTTTTATGCTTTATGAATATTAGTTTCTTTGTTGTTCAGTCAGCAACCTTTTTATTTTATCACAAAATGCATTCTAATGTTCTGTTTGTGTCCAGAGAGAAACGGAGACAAAGACGCGTGGCGCGCGTACACACACACACACACACACACACACACACACACCTTAAAGGAGACATATCATGAAAAACTCACTTTTTTATCCCTTAATACAGTGTGTTTCATATTTTAAGCACCTATGTGTGCAAAAAGCCTGACATTAATCTCTAGAGGAGCTATTGAGATATTTTGTTATAAAGTTTTGGTCATATTTGTCCACCTGTTCAGTTTTTAAATTTGTCTAATACATCTTGTGACTATGTAGTCATGATAACTGCCAAAAATGGTCCTGGACATCCGGCTAAACAGAGCCGATCCACCATTTTTTCTTCTCGCTAAGATTTTTGAGTCCAATTGGACGTGTGTGTGTGTGTGTGTGTGTGTGTGTGTGTGTGTGTGCTTGCTAGCTTGTCCCTCCGTCGGCCATGGTGGGGGTGTGCGATGCGACCCCGTGTGAATTCAGACAAATGCATGAGAGAGTTGGCAGCCCAGAAACGGCTTGATGGACAACTCTCCCCACATGTTTTAAAAATGCTAATATAATGTTTCTGCTACTCTAAATAATGATTTCTTTATAGAACTACAAAGTCCGACTGGGGGAGGAGAGTAGGTCTGCTCTGTGGAGGGGGGCGGGGTTTGCTACTCTTCCAGATTTAAAGAGACATTACCCAAAAAACAGCTCATTCTCAGAGTCTCCTCAGAACAGGGGTAGATGAGGGGTCTGTAGAGCAACAATAATGAGGAAATCAGACCAAAGAACTGCAGTTCCACTGTATTTAGACCTCAACTGAATGATTTAGATGAAAAAAGGAGTAATAAAAGCATATGTCTCCTTTAAAGGTTGTTTCATATTTCTTTTACAATATTGTGTTAAAATGGCATCACCCTGTAGGTAGTAGTCATGGTAACCAGGGTTGAACTGCTTAGTAATCTCTCTGAAACCTTGATACCGACCATGGACAGGAGTCTCCTGACCAACATGCTCACAAAGGCCCTGGTCAGGACGTTAGCTTGCTGAGGTGTGCACGTAACAAACTCGTCCATTGAAGAGAACTTTTAGTAACACTGTAACGTAGCAGGATGAAATAAGTTATTTGTGTTTCTGATTGGTGCAAATATATGTGACACATAAACGTGTTCTGAAGGTAATAACATCACCACCGCTACTAGTGTTGCTACAGCTATGAATACAAGTAACTCTGTTGTTTGCAGCTAACAAGGTAAACCTACCGATGCGACTCTTTTCTCTGCCATGACGTGCTTCCTCTTATGGGCCATTCCCATCTGTACCAGGTCGGCCCGGGCCGGGTAGCCCCAGTCGGCCCCAGCCTGGCCCGGTTGATTCCACACATCCTTGCCTTAAGCCCACGTGGGCTGATTCTACCCACCAATCAGAGGCTTGCTCTAATGGAAGGTGTGAATTTGCTGTCAGCAGTGGGTGTGTTGGCCCTGGTCGGCCTGAAGCAGACCCCCTCGAGAAGAGGGCTGAGAATGAGCCTTGGTTGGCCCGGAAAAATACCAGGCCACCCAGATATGTAAACAACCTACGCTACCCGGCCCGGGCCGACCCGGTACAGATGGGAATGGCCCATTAAGATGCTCGTGCATCACCGATGTGCTCCTGTGAAAGGAGAGTTTCACGCTGCACTCTACGGGCCTTTCTTTGAATCTGTATAATGCTCCCAAACTTATGAGCTACATTGCTGACTCGCCATGTTTTCTTTCTCTGCTGATGAAGGCTGCTCTGGATGGCGTCTACTGCACATGCTTCTCTGTGCGAAGTAGTGGTGTGAATCTTCACTTGTTATCCGATTACGATTATTGTTGGGTCAATGATTCATTTCGATTCGATATCTTGATGCATCACGATTATTTCATATGGATTTGTTTTCATCTATAAATTGAAGATGTCAGATATCTTTTGTCAAACCTGCCATCCCCCAAAAGCTCTCCATTAACCAGTCTTTAGGACTAAACATTTAAAAATATTTAACAAGTAAAAAAAAATCAAAAACATGCTTTGCAAAAACTCACAAAATCTCTTTAAGCTGAATTTAACATCGGTTTATCATCACGAAACAAAAGAATAAAGTGGAATAAAAACTTCTATCTTCTATTTCTCTCCACTTTTAACTTCTCCATGTCTCTAAATAAAAGAGACAAATGATTACACTGCGGTCGCCGTCACTGACCCCGCCCCCTCCCCAAGTCGGGATCTCCCGACATCACAACACTCGGTCTGAATGAGTGCTTCAAGGAGAAAAAATGATGAAATTTTGAAAATAATAATTCGTGTTTGGAGATCCTCTCTCTTGTGTGAGCAGGCAATGTGCTTGCAGGGCTTGTGATCACACGTGATTACACATGGCATTCTGGGATGTGCGCAGACATGTTGGTGGCGTGACAAGTGTAAACATACGTGACACAAACGGTATTTTCATGGAGAAGAAGCGGATTTGGGTGAAAGAAAGTGTTAAACAGGAATTTAAAATCCCAAAAAGGATGCGGAATATACAGGGATACATTAATTAAAGACACCGGGGGCCGGTATGTGGACAAGCGTTCTAAATGGTTTGGATCCATATGAAAGACCCAAGACTGAAGCACCGATGACGTATTGTTACCGCCACAGTCCTGCATAACGGACATTTTCGGTTATCGTGTTTGTGGTGTGAGCGGATGTAATTCAATTCAAGTTTATTTATATAGCCGCTGGCTGTCACACACACACACACACACACACACACACACACACACACACACACACACACACACACACACACACACACATACAGGTCCTTCTCAAAAAATTAGCATATTGTGATAAAGTTCATTATTGTCGCTAGGGTTGGGCATCGAGCATCGATTGGAACCGGTTCCAACTGTTCATTTTTCTTGGAATTGCTCAACGTTTTTTATTTCGATTCCTAGTTTCGATTCCTAGAATGCCGACGGAAGAGGAATCCGCGGCTGATCTCCATGAAAAATAAACGTGATCTGCAAATTGTGATCAACGCTTTTCAGAAGTGATCACACCAGCTGTATGTGTGCAGCACCGAGTTCCCCACTCCCCCCCACCCGGCACGCAGCGGCCAAATATAAACAAACGCGTCTGCCGAACTTTTACTCCGTCATGTAAACTTCAACTCCTGCAGCGTAGAGGAAACTTGTTAAAATACGTCAACACGGTGGATTTAATAGAAGCTTTAAAGAACAAACTCTGGACAGTGTGAGGTGAGTTTGTCTCACTGCAGAAATAAAAACACACACGGAGCGTCAGCAGCCAGACACATGAGTGTCAGAAGGCTGAACAATAACCTGTAGAATAATTTAAGTCATCATGCTAGAGCAGCTTCTCTGTGGTGGTGCATGTTGCAGTTGAGGGAAAGAAACGAAATTTAAAAACGCACACAATCTGTAACTTACAGGAATGAAAACACTCCAGAAGGTGGTGTTTGGTCGCCTTACAGCTGCGATCCAAGTGAGCCAACGAGATGCTAGATACTTGGTCTCCGTGGTTTTGCCTCCAAGCAGGAAAACTGTGAAAAGTTAGCTTGACTTGCCCCTTTATTCCCCTGGTGATCACATGTGTCACCCCACAACACAGCAACGATTTACTAGTGTTTTGTAACATAACTGATCAAATGAATAATAGATTAATTTAAGCTGCAAGAATGAGACTGAGCGCACCGATTACAGTAGTAACAAGCAACAAGTAAGGACTCACACGCCTCCAACGTTGAAAAAAACAAAACTACATTCCACTACAATCGATTATGGCGTACTTTTCTACGATGCTGAATCATTTATGTCCGCATCTCAATGAATTGATTATAACATGTTCAGGAGTAAGCTAGTGGAAATTATAACATCTAATTTCTACTAGTAACAATGTAATATATGTATGTATGTATGTGTATATATATATATATATATATATATATATATATATATATATATATATATATAATTATTGTTATTGTTATTATGTACAGGTTAGCGACATGATCCAGTCTACGTTGTATTCAAATGTAGAAGCGTTTGTGAATTACATGCTACAACAGTTTGCCGTAGCTCTACTGTGATGTGTGGAGCAGACTCGCTAACGCTCAGTAGCAACAACAGCAGACTGCAGGTAGCAGCTGCAGCGGTTCTGCTACATACTGCTGCAGATGCAAACATCCGCAAATAGACGGGATGGTGGGGATTTTCTTCTGCTTCTGGAGTTTAGTCATTCATCACGTTTTTTTTCTGAACTCTACTTGGTCTTGATTCGTGAGCGTGCTACGCGCTAGCTTGGCATTGGCCAATCTTTGGACCATTTCTGCCTTTTGCAATGGTTTATGTGTTTGCTGGTCCCCCTATTTTCCTCCACAGCACCTAGATAACAACATTGTGCACCAGTAAAATGTGCATACATTTATTAAGGCTTCAAATCAGTAAAAAAAATGAATTGAGAAATGTAATTAATCGAACCATTCACTCGATTTGTTTCAGCCCTGATGAAAATTTCATCTGTGTCAGTGATTCAACTTAAAAGATGAAACATACAAGCTAGACTCATTACATTCAACCAGACATTTCAAGGCTTTGTTTCTTATAATTTAGATGGTTATGGGGTTATGCCGCTTAGAATTAAGGCCAACAAGTTTTATCTTGGTCTCTTCAGACCAGAGAATCTTTCTCACCTTTTCTGGGTCCTTCAGGTGTCCTTCAGCTAACTCCATGCGTTTTGCATTGAGGTGAGGCTTCTGTCGGGCCACTGTCGTAAAGGCCTGACCGGTGGAGGGCTGCAGTGATGGTTGACTTTCTACGACTTTCTCCCATCCTTAAAATTCTAACCAAACCAATCAGTGGTGAGCTGCGTGCATCCACACCACGCCGCTCAGTTTCTCAAACAACGAAGATGGCGTCTGAAGCACAGTTTGCAGCAGCCCTTTCTTCTGTTCTGAATGATTTGGACATGTCTTTAAAAACCACAAGAAGCGATATAAGACTTTCTTCTAAAGAAAGATGTTTGCGCTGCTGCTAGATGCCATTTCTGACTACAGCGTTGTGCGACACAGTAGTAATTTCTGCTTTTAACCTTGCATAATGCTATGAAACATACAGCGGAGAGGAAGCTGGTTACAAGTTACGGTGCTAGATCAGCTAGTTTCTGTGATGGAGATGTGGTCAGAAACAAACTCGCTGTCTTTTTATCCTTTCTTGGAAACATCTTTGTCTGAATGAATGTGATGTAATTGTTCATAGAATTAAAACTTGTGTTGAAGTTACGTTTATTTCATCAAGTAAGACCTGTGGTTGAATTTGGAATTGATGGAACCATACTTGAAATAAGGAATTGTTCAAATTCAAATGATGCCTATCCTTGGTGAACAGGCTTATGAACAGCGTTCTCTTCGAGAGCTGCAGATCTCTTCGGAGCCGTAGCTAAAACATCCTGTTATCCATAAACCGTAAAAAGAATACTAGGGATGCACCGATCAGGTTTTTTTGTTGCCTATCACCGATACCGATATCAAAGAATGCTGATCACCGATTTCGATCACCGATAAGGTCACGTGGATTGGCCAGAAATTTTCTACATTATAATGAGTGCTACAAACTACATAATCTGGGAATAAAGGAAATGTAACCTAATCTAAAATGGTCTGTATTAAGGTTGTCACAGTGTGAAAATTTAACCTCACGGTTATTGTGACCAAAATTACCACGGTTTTCTGTATTATCACGGTATTTTTTTTAAACGTGCTACATTTTCACACAATTAAATAAACCCTGTATGTCAGGAAATATTGTCCTCAGTTTGTGTCTGAATTTTGCCTAAAATGTGTTATTTTGTAATGATGTTGTTTATTTGTTTACATTTTTCCCCTTTAGTCTTTAAAATACCAATATTTGCCCATAACTTCTTATTTTTTGTCTGTTTGATGTCATCATTTTAAAAATATTAGATCAGATGATACTCAGTACTCAAGTAGCCTTCTAATCACATACTTTTTTACCCTTACTTGAGTAATAAACCCTATATCAGGAAAATATTGTTCTCGATTTGTGTCCTTCCAGTGAGCTTTGCAGATGTAGGGAAATGTCATCAGGCAGTAATCATTGTTAAATTCATAATTATTCTCGGAGAGAGACCAACTCTTATCTGCCCCTGGGAGCCCCGTAATGCATAGCGTCATTTCAACATGGGGGTGTCCGTGACACGGTTTATATGCAGGTAGCGGCGCTGCGGCTGCTTTATATAGCGACTTGTTGCATTCTCCCTCAACTCAAATCCTCGGATCACGCATTTTAGCTAAAATGCTAACGTTAGCTTGCCTTGCGTTGACTGTAGAGTTGTGGGTGATGGTCACGCAGATGTGTCATGAGATTTGAAGCGTCTCCGTCTCCTCCTTTGGCCATTATTTCAGCTTTAGCTTCAAGAAAGTTTTGGTTGTAAACATCAAAACGCGCATGTGCCGCCGGCAACTTCACAGATGATACGGTGGCTGGTAAGGGTCACCGCGCCTACACCTCAGCCACGATAAACCCACCGAGATAATATAGTTTTTTTTTTTAAAACAAGACGGTTATTATTATTTTCAACTTTTTTTTACCGGGGTTTACCGCTACACCGGTTACCATGACAACCCTACCTGATCGGTCTGCTTTGATCTATTTTGAAAACTCTGATCAAAACAGATAGGGGCGCTATCGGCCGATTGGGATCAAATGCCGATCCATCGGTGCATCCCTAAAGAATACCTTGCAAATGTGACTGCCGAAGGCAGTAGCAGTTGGTGCAGCATCTACCCTTCAATGTCTGCTGTGAGGACGGACCTCTTGTGATGAACAAATCTACACTTTTTGTCACAGAGCTGTTGGGGAAAACTGAGGTAATCATCTCCTTGTTTCTATCTTAACAGGACCTTTGTAAAGTGGATATAGCCTCGCTCAAGTCTCGGATTGGGAGGATCAGACATGCTGATGACACTGCCGTTCCCACTTGTTCTGATGATGTAACCCCAGCTGTTCCCATAACCACCACGCCCCTGTCAACTGACACAAGTCCCCTAAACGCCTCTGTAGCTCGAGCCAAAGACCTAGCAACCAAAGCTCTGAGAAGGAAGGAAGAGGGGTTTGTCAAGCAGGGGGAGACACCACCTCACGACAGGTGAGCAAACCAATACTTAAATTTCTGTTTATTTTTTAGACCCATCAAACTAATTCATCTTGTTTCATGGTCCAGCACCAGGCAGCCAGCGTATCAGCGATACCACACCCTCGCTCAGTCAGGCCCCCCCGGGCTCTCTTTGCCATACCAGTACAAGGTTCTGGCTGAGATGTTCAGGAGTATGGACACTGTGGTCGCCATGTTGTACAACCGCTGTGAGACTGCCACGTTCACTAAAGTCAAGCAGGGAGTTCAGGACATGATGCGCAGGTATGTGACAGGATGAAGACCTGGTAGCAGGGTCCGAAATTAAATTTTTTACTCACCGGCCAAGTTGGCTGGTAGATGATGAAAATCTACCGGCCTAGCATATTGTTTACCGGCCAAAATTCTAAATGATTTAGATCCACCTAAAGCATGTTATTCTATATTATGTTGATTCCAAACAGAGTGACAAAATAATTAAAACATCAATTAATAAGAAAAACAACTCTTTTGTCAGTTTTACTATTTATTTATTTTTAGAGATGTTTTTATGAACTCTTTAATTGAAATCTAGTCAGACTCCTTGTTTTCTCTGTCCATGAAGTCTGGCCTCCTGCTTCTGACACCGTCTTTGTGCCACAGCATTACAGCCTCATTTGGGTCATAGTCCTTGATCTCTGGAGGACACAGCTGCACCATGAGAATATCTGAAAGTGTCAGGGCTAGGGTTGTCACGGTAACCGGTGTAGCAGTAAACCCCAGTAAAAAAGTTGACAATAATAATTATCATCTTGTTTTTAAAAAAAAATTATCTCGGTGGATTACCGTGGCTGCGGTGTAGGCGCGGTGACCCTTACCAGCCACCGTATCATCTGCTGAAGTTGCCGGCGGCGCATGCGCACTTTGTTGTTTACAACCAAAACTTTCTTTAAGCTAAAGCTGAAATAATGGCCAAAGGAGGAGACGGCAGCACTTGGGACATTTATTATCCCTCAAAGAAGACAAAGTCAGAAGTATGGGCATTTTTTGGATATTTGAAGAATGCCGAGGGACAGTTGTCTGTGAAAGGCAGCAACGCTACGTGGCCATCATAATGTAGCCATTGTCTCACGACTCCGCCGTCTCCAGTTCGCCACTTTTCACAAAATCTTCTGGTTGCCACTGGTCCTGGTGGTTTTTCTTCCAGTTCGACGAGTTTTCTTTTGGAAGGCTGGCTGACTTCAGTTAAAAATCGCCACATTTCACCGCTAGTTTTAACACGAAGCTAACTGCTAACTTGATAAACTGATTGAATGGGATAGGTGGAAATGACATTGGATGCGGTGCTCACGTTTCGCGTACATTTGTGTGCGTTGCATGCAGGCGGGAGGAGTATCAGAAATCCATGGAAGATGACTGATAAACATAACTAATTTGGTGCAAACATTTACTCGCCAGGTGGCAGGTAGAGCTCAAAAATTTACTCGCCAAATGGAGCAATTCGCTCGCATTTGGCGAGTGTTAATTTCGGACCCTGCCTGGTAGGGTGGTGCACCACTGAGTAGGGCTGGGCTGTTTTACCCCAAGCTGCTGTGTATTGTTGCTACTATCACAAGGATGTTCTAGTTTAGGATCAGCTTTATTTATTTAGTTCAAACAAAAAGTGGAAAGATTGAATTACAAAGCAGACAAACGCGACATTAGAAAAATACATATTAGATCTGTAATTAAAAATGAGTTCCAAATATTGCATTACAAGTAAACTAGCAACTCAAATGTTTGCAAAAAGTATGCACATTGGTACTCATTTCCTTGGAAAGCAGTAGTATAAAGTAGGAACAGACTGATATTTCTGTCGACTCATATACTTCCTTGGTAAAGCCGATTTAAAGTCAGGCACTTCCATGTGGAGCCTGGTGCTGCTGCAGAATTTAATTACATATTTATGTTCCTGAGTGAAATCTACATGATAAATGTTCTAAATGTCTTTAATTCGTTAAGGTCTCTCCATCCTTCAGCGCTAACCCTGACCAGCTGTCAACTCACAAAAGGCTATTAGGCAAATATAGTTTAAAGGTTGGCAAAAGGAGATCTGAGGCACTCAGGAGATACAAAAATAAAAAGCCTTTATTAGTACATGGCTCAAATAGTTAAAAACATAGATGTCGACGCGTTTTAGCCCACGGGGCCTTCGTCAGGGCTCAAAAGGTTTGTATGTTTTCTCACTTTCATGTTAAGAAGGCTAATCAATGACACCTGCTGAAGTCGGGCAGGTAGACAGTATTATGACTGGATGACCAGTATAACACAAAAAACTTTTAACATCTAAACAATCCTATTGTAAGGATGAATACTTACAAATATTACGTTTCACTTGTAGAATTTGAGAAAAAATTATAAATATGGTACACAAATGGTAAGAAAACATGAGATTATAAATAAGGAGCGAAATCTGATTCTCCTTAAGAAGAAATCTACTAATTTCAAGACACAAGTCCCTTTCAAAAAAGAACTGCAAATGGATTTAGAAAAATTACAAAGGGAAGTTAAACAAGAAAAGCCGAGGAAATTCAATAGAGACGTATCAGACTACAAAGAAAATAAAGTTTACATGTGGAAACAAAGACAAAGCTTTCAAACTCGGTCACAACGAAGAACTGTTTCCTTCCAACTGCCTAGCAATGATGAGGATCACCCGGAGACATCAGAATCCTCCCCATCTACTTTTTTAGGCATCAGATCCCAAAGAAACAAGCAGAGACAAAAAAATGTAAGACAAGAAGAGGGAGAAGCAAGTCATCAAGGATTCACAAGTTACAGTCGACATACCAGAAGCAGAGACGAGATGAAGATCAACAAGTAACAAGCATCTCCTCGAGACCATATACAGCAAGATGGTGGGAGAACCCCATTCAGACCCAAGTCCACCTTTATACCTAACATATGTAATCAGACTCTGAATGTCTTCTACAAAAAAGTTACACATGAAGTTGATCAACTCTTTGCATCTAAAAATAAAACGAAGCATAATCTCACAAACAAAGAAAGAGATGCAATTAAGAGGTTATCAGCTAATGAAGACATCATCAAGAGAGCTGATAAAGGAGGAACAGTAGTGGTGTGGGGCAGAGACCTATACGTCACAGAAGCTGAGAGACGGTTGGATAACAGTGAATACTATGAACATATTCAAATTAATCCAACAGAGCAAATAAAGACTGAACTTAAGGAGATACTTTTACACGCTAAAAATGAACAATGGATCTCACAAAAGAACATGACTTTCTACTGAATGAGCACCCAAGAATTCCTTCCTTCTACATGCTCCCTAAAATCCATAAGAACTTGGAGAATCCACCAGGCAGACCAATAATCAGTGGCAATGAATCAATCACAGAACCAGCCTCACAGTTTGTAGATTTTTTCATTAAACCATTTGTATCAGAACTGCCTTCTTTTGTTCAAGACACTACTCAAGTACTGAACAAACTGACTGATATAAGGAACATAGGACCTGGACTTCTTGTTACTATGGATGTGGAGGCGCTATACACTAACATTGACCACACAGAATGACTAGAAGCACTAACCTATTACCTGGACCAAAGACATTCAGAAGATATGCCTCCTTCTTCTTTCATCCTTCAGCTGGCGAAGTGGACTCTATGTAACAATGTGTTTCTGTTTCAGAACCAATTTTTTAGACAGAAAAAAGGTACAGCAATGGGAGCATGCTTTGCACCCAATTACTCTAATCTTTTTATGGGACTTTGGGAAGAAACATATGTATACTCTGATCGTAATGTCTATGCTGATAAGATGATGTGGTGGGGAAGATACATTGATGACAATATTCTGCTGTGGTCTGGGTCAGAATCAGAACTACTTCAATTCCATTCATATCTTAACAACACTAACAAAAGTTTGAAACTCAGCCTAGACTTCTCCTCATCTGAAATTAATTTCCTAGACATAAAAATCTCAAAATCTGATAATGGAGATTTACACACTTCTATTTTTAGAAAACCTACTGACCGTAATACAATCCTCAGAGCAGACAGTTTCCATCCATCATGGTTAATAAACAACATTCCCACTGGTCAGTTTCAAAGACTTAGACGTATTTGTGACACAGAAGAAGAATTTGAAAGAAATGCTACAGTTATGGGCCAGAGCTTTACAACAAGAGGATACCAACAAAGAACTATACACAAAGCGTATGATAAGACTAAAAGCCTCCCAATAGAACAACTATTGGTTCCTAAAGAGAAGAACCCACAAAGATCAGATGGTGTTTATTTTGTGACCCAATTCAGTGATCAAGCCCACAAGATCAAAAAAATAATTACAAAAAACTGGGACCTACTGAAAAGCGACAGTGTTCTTAGGGAAGCTCCCCCAGATACTCCTACTATCAGCTTCAGACGAGCTCCAACGTTAAATGATCAGCTTGTTCAGTCACCTTCCTCCACAGCAACAAAAAATGTGGTTATCAACTCAAAAAGGCAACTATACATGTGGAAATTGTGTTCACTGTGAGAACATGACTAATACTAATTGTTTTGCTGATGTTTTCACAGGACGTACTTTTTACATTAATACATTCATCAATTGTAATACTTTTTTCGTGGTCTACAGACTAGAATGCCCATGTGGTTGCTTCTATATTGGAAGAACTAAACGTAAGTTAAAAGCAAGACTTGCAGAACACAAACAAGCAATCAGATCAGGTAATCCTCTATGGCAGTGCGTCATAAAGACACAAATCATGGAAGCTGTAACTCTTAAAATCACAGGGATTGAACATATAAAAAATTCAATTAGAGGAGGAGATAGGCTTAAAAAACTCTTGCAAAGAGAATCATTTTGGATTTACACACTAAAAGCTACTAATTTCCCAGGTCTTAATGGAGAATTAGATTTCGCTCCTTATTTATAATCTCATGTTTTCTTACCATTTGTGTACCATATTTATAATTTTTTCTCAAATTCTACAAGTGAAATGTAATATTTGTAAGTATTCATCCTTACAATAGGATTGTTTAGATGTTAAAAGTTAGGTGTGGCGCCACGGCTGAGCCTATGTAGGGGAAACACTGGGTGTGGTTCACTGAAAAACCATTTTTTAATGATTATTTCTGATAATCAGTCACTTTGTTTCATGCAGGTCGAACATGAAAATAGTCTCCTACACTTATCTCCTGCTTCAGTATTCTGATAGAAATGGTGAAACTCTAGATTAGAAAATCCTGACAGATCTAAGTCACACTGTCACTTAACATTCATGGGCTCACCATCTAGACTCGTGACAGGGAAGGCTGTTGTTGGTTTAGCCTCCAGGAAACAGCAGGGAACGTCTCTGCTAGTAAAACTGTTAGCATTAGCAACTCCACCACACAGCAGAACTCCTCCAGGCTTGTGTTATTTGTGGAGGTAAAACATCAACGTTGCAAATCAGTAGTAGAGTGAATTTTTCTAAGCAAAATCTCTGAAAAGGAACAACAGATATTTCAGGGGTTCAAAACCTTTCTAGAATGTAATCATGCCTTTTATCAATAATTTATAGAATGTGTGTGTGATTTATGTGTTAATACAGATGTGAAATCAATTCATGTTAAATCATCATGAAAATGATCATTTCTCAGATTATAATTGTACCACCAAAATTAATGATCGTTGCAACCCTATACCGGACCAGAATTTGGTTTCACACCAGGGTCAAATATGCATTTTCCATTCTGAGGTGACCTCTTCCTCAGACGTCCAACTGGGGCCAAGTAGTTGATACTACAGACTTGAGGCCTAGTCAACACGTAGCCGGGTTTTTTTAAAAACGAATATCCGCCCCTCCAAAAACTTGCATCCACACCACCGCGTTTTAAAAACAAACTCTGTCCACACGTACCCGGATAAATACGTTGTTAAGGACATGCGAGACCTATAGGCGGCAGTACTTCCCCCGTTCTTAACCTCGTCCTTCATCTGTGGTCTTCCGCAAGGAGCAGTAATTCCACTTGCAAAAACAAACAAGCAAAAAGCGCTTGGACAGTTGATGGATCGGGTAGTGACAGAGCGCAGCTCTGAGGGCTTCCATGATGCCGGCTAGTGTAAACACCGGTCACACATGTGATGTCAGCATTTTTCTGTCGCGGAAAGTGACGTTGCGGACCTTAAAACTCCGGTTTTGTCCGTCCACACGCAGACACCCAAAACGGAGAAAACGCAGATCTTCACTTTGGCCGGAGTTTTTAAAAAGATCCGTTTTCGTGTGAAAAAACTCCGTTTTCGTGTGGATGACAGGCCAAAACGTAGAAAAATATCTACGTTTTGGCAGATCCCCAGCTACGTGTGGACAGGGCCTAATTGGCTGGCTGAAATCCAAATCTACTGCCTCTGATTGGCAAGCAGAATTGGCCACCGGGGGATTCTCTCAGGCGTGATTCTGTAGCACGCATCACTCGCTCAGTGGGAAAGGAAAAGAGAGCCGTGTGTGTGTTATATCATGATAATATAGGAGTGTGTGGGTTTATTTAAAAAGGATCCCCATTAGTCCCGCCTCTTCCAGTTGCTGATTGGTTCTTTTTTCCCGTTCGCCTATCTCTTCCACTTTCTGATTAGATTTTCATTAATGTCAATTATTATTGTTAGCTTTTATTTATTGACAAAAAAACACGTTATCGCGAGGGACTACTGTACAGCGCTTTGGTTTGACCTCAGATTGATGGAAAAATAGTTTTATAAATAAAGTTGATGACGATGTCTTATTTATAAATGAGCTGCACATTCATTTAAATGGCAATATGTTCATACTGTGTCTGTGAGGTCAGGTTGAGGAGGTGACCCTGACTTGTTCTGACGTCTTGTATTCAGGCGCTTTGAAGAGAGCCACATGGGGCAGATAAAGACTGTGTTTCCTGAGGCATATACATTCAAGCAGGAGAAGAACATCCCAACCTTCAGCAGTGGTGTTCCCAAGACCAGCTACCAGCTCACCGTGGAGCCCCTTACTGAATCTGGTTAGAACCTACTTTTCTTTATTTATTAACTCAGCTTAATAGTTTAAATTGAGAGTTTTGAGTTTAACTTGTCAATGTGTGTGAATGGGTGAATGACTGATTGTGTTGTAAAGCACCTTGGGGGGTTCCAGGACTCTTGAAGGCGCTATATCAAATACAGGCCATTTAACAGGCCAACTTCAATGTACAATAAGTAATTTTACAGTGAAATAATCCCCAAATAGTCAAATGTCTCCAATCATGTTGGAAGGAGGGTTACGTCGAAACAGATTTGATTCTCAGCCAGCTGTCTTTTCAAAATGGCAGAAGAGAGACATGGTTACTGTTTAAAACCTGTGAGCCTGCTGGGTTGCAGAGTCTGCGCCGTGTTGGTGCTGCAGTAAAACGCAGCAGTGTTTTGTAAAGATCCTCAGCCAGTAACCGGAGCGACCCAGAAGTTATGTTTTGAAGCTACAGCAATTTTTTTTTGTTTTACTCTAATTCTGAGTAAAGAAGGCTAAAGGCCTACATTCAATGGTCCGCCCATGGTTCGAGTTGGTGTGGTGAACAGGGTGCTACTGAGTTGTCAGCAGATCCTGGTCTCGGGTTTCAACCAATGTCTTACCCCTGGTCTTCTGCTGATTCTGTCGTGTTCTTGAGTGCATGCTTAAACCTTTGTTTGTCTTTTGGGTTGGCGTTTGTCCTGTTCTGTCACTTCTCCGCACGGTTGACCTCTTTAAAGGACTCGGTCCACAACGTCGATAGCCGCCTATCGAGCTCTTGTACCGTGAAGATCCGGCTGCCCAGGTGCCTCCTCCTGCGCCGGTCGGTCCTGTACCTCCAGCTGCACCGCCTGCACCTCCTTTACCTCCGGTTAAATCTTCAACTTCAAAAAGGGGGTGATTTCATTGGTCCAGATTCGTCTGTCCCATAGTTCTCTGTTTCGAGTTACACAAGTTCTGTTTGTGTTTGTGTGTGTGCATGGTTGTACTTCCTGTCTATACATGACGTGCAGACTTGGGTGACTTGGGATGGTCATGCTGTGGGTTCCTGAAGTTCTGTAATGATTAAGTCATTAACAGTTAAGTGGAGTATTCTGCAAACTGTTGTGTTTATCCAAATTCCATTTTTATTTTTGTTACTAATCTCTAATTGCTTATGGGGTATATTCACATAAAGGTTGATTACTAACATCACTGATTTACATATTTACATTCTAGTGTTCTTCATTCACATATATATACATTTTTGCATTATTTTGCTTACAGCTGATTACTTTTTATAATAACTTTTGTGATTTCCTTCAGTTTTGATTTACCAGTTGTGGGCCATGATCATTTTTGCCCTTCGTTTTTGATGACATTTTTGTTAAAAGCGTTAATTTTCCCTTACAGATATTATAGGGTTTTGTTTATTTTGTTCTTATTGCAACACTTTTCCAGTACATGTAGTTTACTGCATCCATTTCTTTAACCAGAACTCTGTTCACATAATCTGCTTTCACATGATTGGCTTAATGAACTGACCTGAATTGGAATGTTTATTATGTGAAGTGCCTTGAGACGACTCTTGTCGTGATTTGGCGCTATATAAATAAACTTGAATTGAATTGAACTGAACATAGCACATACAGATACACATACTGCCAGGTTTCTTTTTATTTGTTGTTTTACATCAGACGCCATCTGTGTGTCTACATTCAAGTGCCCTGTGTGTGTGCTCTCTCCTCTGCTGGGTTTCGCCAGTGGTCCTCGCTTCCTGGGATGACCTCGCTGCTTTGTCTCCTGGTTCTGCTCTACACCAACATTGAGCTAACACTGCTAATGGCGAATTCAAAGTAAATGACTAACGACCTGCACTTATGTAGTGCCTTTTGGAGTCTACGTGCTTTACACCAGTGAACATCAAAGCTGGGGCTACATGACATTGTGACGTTTTGTAAGTGGTTACAGTTAATAATAAATAATAAAACATGAAAGGTATTCAACAAAGTATAATGTTCCATTAAAAACATGGATCAGTAATATTTTTAAGCCTTTAAGATCTGATTGACACTGGAAGTAGGTAAATGCCAGGGAACTAACAATCGCCTACTCACTAATGATTACACGGAAAAACCGAAGGTAAATGAGTATTCAAGATAATATTGACTGAGACAAGAACCAAACTCTGGTGGAACATGATCTTGAATGTTATTAAGAGTCTAATGAGGTCTTTTAGAAAAGCTGTGAAGTCTGGGATTACAAGAGTAATCTGGCTGAATGTAGTGATGTTTGTCCTTCAGGAGTTTAGTGACTTTCTATCCTCCACTGTGAAGCTGTCCAGACTGGTGATTGTTGGTGACTTTAACATCCACATTGATGATCCCTCAGACCACTTTGCCATTAATTTCTCCAGCCTCATGGACTCCTTCAGCTTTACCCAGCATGTTTCTGGCCCCACACACTCCAGGGGCACACTCTAGACCTTGTTTTTACCCCGAGTCTAAATGCTGACAGTTGTAATGTATCAATAGTTACATCTTGCGCACGAAACCATCGAAGGTGAGATAACATAGAAAATATGAAATCAATTTGATGTATCTTTGAATACTACCTTTAACCAGGTCTGAAGATCTGAACTTTTTATTGCAGGGATTAGGTAACACTTCGTAATAACCCAGAGTCAAAGAGAGAGACAAGTTTTAAAGTTTAAGAAGATTTATTTCTAAACAATTTAAAACAAGGCTAACTGTAACTTTAACTCTAAACACTGTGTGATGAATGGATCTAGGTTGTGAATGAGGCAAGATGGATGGTGTAAATGTGGAATGTTGTTATGAGAACTCTCGTTTCTGGAGAAGCCTTAGTTCTGTGTGGGAGTGAATGTTTTGCTCTAAACTATAGTCAAAGTTTCAAAAACCACATTCAGACGCTATCTTGCCGACCTACATACCCTCGTGGAGACCTCCATGTAGAGCCAGAATGCCAGGTTCTCGAGCCCCTCTTTGGTACCGAAACTGGTGAAACAGCGACAGACTAGTCTTGGAATGCCCCGAGGTAAGCAGCAGTTGGTTGACAGCGTCAGCAGGACCCTGAAGGGTCAGTGAGTTCAGCTTTTACTCTGAAGGAGCATTGCGTCAGGTGGAGCTTGCAACAGGTTTATTTTCCAGCTTGTCGTTAGGTTTTTTGTGGTTAAAAAGTTACGAGTGGCAGGCTCGCAACTCTAGAACGTTTGAACTGAGTTAAGGGTGACGTGGGAGTTAGTTTTATAATTCAGATAGTTTTATAATTCAGATGTTTTGATTTATGGTCGAATGAAAATTGGACAACAAATATAAACAGCGCACAGATCATGCCACGCGTCAGAAAGGAAAGCTCTGATTGGAGAGACAAAGGAATGTGTCATGTGATTAACATTATATGTGATCAGTCTCGCGTGTAGTTTAAAAGTTATATTACTTATTAAAATACTATAATATAAATATAATAATTTGGACTAACACAGGTATTTGACCATCCTTTAACAGAAGAGAGTTCTGATCTTCTTTCTTCTCTTGAGCTGTAGGGGGAGGCAAATAGCTAGTTAAAACAGTTTAGATGCAGAGGCATCAAAAAGGCCTTGAGCATATCTGAAGGAGATTAGTTCTTCCTGATGAGAGGGGACCTTTAGGTCAGAAAACAGTCCCTTCATGACGCTACACAGTGTTTGTCCTGAGGACGTTTATATTTCAGATCACCATTGCATTTTCTTTAACTTGTCAGTTTCTGCGTCCCCACCTCCTGCTCGCTGTCTGGTTAGTTCTCGTTTTCTTAATGAGAGCACAGCTAGAAAATTTTCTACTGCTTTTGATCCACCCTGTTCTTCTGATAACGACCCAGATTCCTTAACTTCTCAGTTTAACGAGCACTGCCTCTCCATTCTGGACAACATCTGTCCTGTCAGAACCAGATCAGTTCCTGCAGTGAACCCTACTCCCTGGTTTAATGACGGCCTTCGCAGCCTAAAGCGCCAATGCAGAAAAATTGAGCATTTGTGGAAGAAAACCCATCTCCACGTCCATCTGCTGCACCTAAAGGATCTTCTGACATCCTTTAACTCTGCAATCAGAGATGCAAGGGTTTCCTATTTCTCCAACCTGGTGTCCCAGAGCAAAGGGAACCCCAAGGTGCTGTTTAACACCATCAGCAGCATCATATCTCCTGCCTTCCAGCCACTCTGTTACAGACTGTGAGAACTTTCTGTCTTTCTTTGTGGACAAAGCCAATAAGGTTAGATCTAGCATCTCTCCTTCCGCCTTATCGCTGCCTCTCCCGACTCCAACCAGGCCAATCATCCTAGATAGCTTTGCTCCTGTTTCTTTGCCTGAGTTACCCAAACTAGTTAACTGTATGAAGACCTCTGGATGCCCCCTCGACATCTTACCCCCATCTTTGTTTAAAAGTGCTTTTCAGTCCATCGTTCCCAGCGTGCTCTCTATAATTAATGCTTCTCTGGTTTCTGGTCAGGTCCCTGCTTACTTTAAGAAAGCTGTAATCCACCCGCTTCTTAAAAAACCGAGTCTCGACCCCTCTCTCCATAGCAGCTTCAGACCCATCTCTAAACTTCCGTTCATCTCCAAGATCTTGGAAAAGGTTGTGACTAAACAACTCACAGCTGCTCTTGATGTACATAACATTTATGATAGCTTCCAGTCAGGTTTTTGTAGAGCTCATTCTACTGAAACAGCTCTTCTTAGTGTCTCTAATGACCTTCTGACTCACAGTGATGCAGGGGACTGTTCTGTTCTGGTCCTGCTGGACCTGACTGCAGCCTTTGACTCAGTTGAACATCTCCTGCTTCTGGAGAGGCTGAGAGACTGGGTAGGCCTATCAGGAACTGCTCTGGAGTGGTTCTCCTCTGATCTTTCTGAGCGCTCCTTTTCTGTGGCCGTCTCCAAGTTTAGGTCCACCACCACCTCTCTTACCCATGGTGTCCCACAAGGTTCTGTGCTGGGGCCTCTGCTCTTCCTCCTCTATCTGCTTTCTCTTCAGCACATCCTGAGCTCCTTCAAAGGAATCTCCTACCATCTTTACGCAGATGACATCCAACTGTACATCTCCTTTAAAGCTTGGTTTATGCTTGACACATCCGTGAGGTTCGCACGGCTCCGCGCGGCAAAATTGCGTCATTTTAAAAACCACGCACCTCCGCATGGCCCAAACTTTCCGCACCGCGCACCTATGAAATTTTCTAACCACGCAGACGGTCGGAAAAACATGGTGGACTGGCAAGAACTAGTATGGCAGAGGTTCGTAAATACAGACATTTGTATGATTCAGCTCTCAAAGATCACTTTGATCCCCGTGTTGTTAATAATTCTTGGAGAGAAATAGCTCGCACTGTCGGAAAAGACGAGGACGCTGTTAAAAAATGCTGGAATGCCATGTTGTAAACAGTGATTTCAACTTCTGCTATGGTGTGGTGTTGGATGCATGCCGTAGAGCTCCATGCTGCCCCGTTCAGTTTGGGAGAATATTGGCTCACCGCAGAGACAAGCCGCATGAACCATAAATGCTGCGAGTTGTGAAGCGCGTTCCATCCGCGAGCCGCATCACCAAGCGGAAAGTGAATGCGTCAAGCATAAACCAAGCTTAAGAGCAATCAGGGTGAAATGCCTTGCTCAAGGACACAGTAACTGAATTTCCTGCAAGGAGCTGGGAACAATCTTGAAAACGTCCTATTACTGGATTCCCTGTTACCTCCTAAGTTACTGCTGCCCAAAAATAATCTCTCCTGAAAATATCTCAAGCTACTTTTTCCATTACCAACAACTCTACAGTGAAATTCATCAACTTACTGTGTATGACTTCTTCATTCATCTAGAATCTTCCAGTGCTGAGCTGTAAATGGCAACAGCCATGAAACTCATGGAATGAGTGAGAAATACACTTGCGTGTTTTTAAGATGGGCTGCAGTACTGATATTTGACCACATGGTGTCATTCTTACATCATGCACCTTTAAACTGACCTGTGTGTTTCTCTTCAGATCAAAATGAAGCCCGACCCCTTCTGTCAGCTTTGCATCTCCTGAAGAGACGGTCCATCTTCCACCAGAACCTGGTTTCTATTGTCAAGCAGCACCATCAGGTGAGCAGTTACTTCAGAGCCCTTCACCATGTCCTATTGTTTTTTTTTTTGTATTATTATTATTATTACTGGTCAGAAATAACATTTTTCTCTCCTTGTAGGTCTTCTTGTCCTCCTTGGTTCCTCCAGTTTCTGTTCCAGATGACAAGCTAAACCGCTGGCACCCACACTTTAATGTGGACTCTGTACCAGCTGTCCAGCCCAGCTTGCTGCCCCAGGTCCCAGTTACAGAGAAGCTAATTACAGCTCGGGAGGTTCTGGACAAGGCCCGTTCACTCTTAAGCCCCAAGGTGCTGTCCTTTTGCCTACATGACTATAAACTGGTGTAGTCTGATGCCTAATTTATACTTCTCCATGAGCTTGAGTGTGAAGTCGTGCACACGCATTGACGAAAAGTTGTCTCCGTCAGCCTCTGCGAGCCTGTTGGAGAGTCCTTGGCGGTGATTCATAACAGCAGATCTATTGGCAGATGGACAAGTATAATTTAGGCTTCCTACTGATTCATCACAGTAGCGTACACGTGTGGAGCTGGCATGTTCACCCTGTGCATGCATGCGTTTCCTCTCGCAGACCACAGGGTAGCCGCGGGGTCCTAAATTATTAAAAGCATGTCACCATGGTGAATAAGTGGGGCTTCAGGTTAGCCTCGTTTGTTGAACCAAATTAGGGAATATTAACCCGTGATTTTCAGAGTGAGCCTGGCTTTTGAGTTCACTTTGTGGAACAGCCCTGGGCCAACAGGTATGGGGGCCTACTTGAATAACTCTATGCTGCTAATGACCCACATGAACATACATTTGTGTTGTGGATGCAATTGCGTCATGGAATTAGCTTAACATGACAGCTTCTTTTTTGGGGGCAAGAAATATTTGCTGGTAATATTGTGAATGTCATGATATTGCCCACTCCCGGATGGAATTTAAATTTTTCTGTTTATTCAGATTTTAATTCTGTAACTCCTAATTGCTCAAACGGATAGATGGAATAAAAATGCAACGAACCTTGTAGGTTCTTTTTGTGATTTTTGTATTGCAGAGGGTTTGACATTATTACCCGTAATTAATTCATTTAATAATTATAGATATATATAATTTTATTTATTTTTGTTTTTGTTTTGTAGAAGTGTATTTCCAGCCGCTAACCCGGCATTACGTTTTACTTGGCAAACATGAAGAAGGTATTAAATTTTACTGTCAAACCTGGAGCTACCTTGGACCAAAACCATGCATGCCTAGGTTATAAATAGTCTCTAAATAGTCCCTGGTTGTGAGTGACTGTCCCTGTGGTGGACGAGAGACCCGTCAAGGTCCCCCACCTCTCACCTAGTGACTGATGGAGTGATACACCTGCTCTCTTTAGTAAATGATTCATTCATTTATTTATAAAGCACCTTCTATGACCTTATCAAGGTGCTGAACACAACCATAAAACTCGCTAAGAACCAATAAAATGAATAAAAAAAAGATTAAAAACGAAAAACCTTAAAAGAACAGGCAGGAAACTAACAACATGTTAAACCAGCGAAAAGTCAATAAAAACAGAAGATCAAGACAATGTTGTGCTCCCTAATGCTGAAATGCCATCACGTAAGCATCTTCAGGCGAGACTTAAAAACCAGAAGCGATGGTGTCTTTTCAAAGCCTAATTTATACTTCTGCGTTGGTGCGGAGACACGCAACGCCAATATGCGTCGATGCAAGGGCTCTCCGACGGGCTCGCAGAGGGTGATGGAGACGTGCCCCCATTTTTAACTGTCAAAAAAGCCTAAGCTTGTGATTGGTCAGGACACTGCTTCCTGGTTATAGAGCTCCGGGAGTTGACGTCACTTCTCCCGGCATACAACAGTTCAAATCGAAACGGCGCCATATTGGCAGGTAGAAGCCGGCAGCTGGACTATTTGTTATTGTCAGAAAACGCAATCAGACGGGAAATATGGTAGATTCCTGTTGTGCCCCAGGATGCAGAACAGACGCGGACGACATAAGGAATGAGCTAGGGCTGAAACGATTCCTCGAGTACCT